AAGCCAGACAAGGTGGTACAGGCCTGTAATTCCTGCACTCTGGAAAGCTGAGGCTAGAAGGCCAAAAGTCTGAGCCTACTGGATGTGATGGCACATTCCTGTAATCCCAGCATTTGGGAGGTAAGATAAGAGGGTCATCATGAGTTTGAGGCCAGCCTGGGTTACATAGTGAATTCAAGGCCAACCTGAACTACATAGTGAGATCCTATTTCAAATAACCAAAACAAAGAAACAAACCCTAGCCTGGGCAATTAGAGATTTAGGAAAACTTTTCTCAAAAACAAAACAAAATATAAAATTGTAAAGTTGTATGAAACTCCTGCATTCAGTCCCCACTACTGCAAAACAAAACAGGGCTGGGGATTAGCTCAGTGGCACCTTGCTTGCCTTGGCAAAGGCAAAGCCCTGAGTTAGTTCGATCACTGGTACTGAAAAAAAAAATAAAACAACTTATTTGCTAAACTAGAGCCTTTGTACTTCAGTCTGAAAGTTTTATTTTATTTTTTGGTACCAGGGACCAAACTCGGGACCTTGTGCTTGCAAGGAAGGTGCTGGAACCACTGAGCTAAATCTTTGGCCCTGAAAGTTAGATATCTTTATTTATGTATTTATTTTGTGATCATCATGCCTCAGTTTCCCAGAGTACTGGGATTATAGGCAAGCACCATCATAGAATTCAGATCTGTTCAAGAACGATTCTGTGGTGAGTAAAGTGATTACTTTGCAGCTGGATTTCAGGCTTGGAGGCAGGGATATCAGTTAGGAGGCTGACTTAGTGATCTGCCATCCACACTGTAGTCAAATTAAAATTTTACAGGTATCTCCTATCATTGAATTCCAAACTCTTTTGCATGTTGCGGGCATTGAGACAGGGTCTCACTATGTAATACAGGCCAGCCTTGAATTCACTATGTAACCCAGGTGGACCTCAAACTCATGGTGTTCCTCCTGCCTCAGCCTCTTGAGTGCTGGGATTATGGGCCATGCTCAGCTTCTTGGACTTTTGGAGCTGAAATACGGTTTGCAAAAATTGTAATTCCCCTCTACCATTGCACACAAGAAAAGTGGTGTGGTTAGAATAAAGAGATTTGCCCACGAACTTATAGATTAGAATAAATTGGGCTGCAATTCAAATCTATGCTTGTCAATGTAATTAAATGCAGTTGTCCAAAGGCTTGTCTGTTGCTCCCTTTGGAGTTCAGTTCCTGTTTCTTGGCTGGACGAATCTCCTTAGCGAGCCTCTATGGTTCTTCAGTTCCTGCTTTAACCTGGTCTCTGGGCTACCCCTTTCTCCTCCAGAGATCAACTCTGCAGTGTAAAACATGTTGCACTTCATCCAGCACATTTGGGCATTCACAGCAAGAGGAAATTTAGGTCATCTTGCCCACAGTATTGCTATGTGGTTACTTACTTTTTTTATTGTTATTATTATTTTGGTAGGGGGGATTGAACTAAGGACCTTATGCTTATGAAGCAGGCAGCAGCACCACTGAGCTAAATCCCCGGCACGCTATGTGGTTACTTATATAATGTGTATCTTCACCTTTAGACTACAAGCTTCCTGGATGACTCAGACAGGAGTAATCAATGTATGTTTGTAGGACGTTTAATTCAGCATATACAAATACGCTACTTATATACATATATGCTATTTACCGAACAAATATTGTAAGAGCCGGCATTGTGTTAGATTAGCACAAGCTTACATTCAGTTCATATTTACTTGTGTATCTGGCCATGGAAGGGCAGATTTGGCTTTCTCCCTCGGTGTTGGGGGAACACTGACATAAATTTTAGGTGAATTTAAGATTGCAATAAAAACTGAAAGTGTAAAAGTATCACAGGAAAAGTCTTTTTAAGAATTTTGACATACACACAAGAATACACATTAACAAACAATAATATAACAAGTTGATATTGTATTTTTTTCAAGTACTAGAGATTGAATCAAGGCCTTCCCACTGAGCTACATCCTCAGCCTTTTAAAAAAAATCTAAAAAAATTTTTTAGGTGTGGTGGAGCATACTTATAATCTCAGCACTTGGGAGGCTAAAGCAGGATAACCACTGAGTTCAAGATCAGCCAGAACTACATAGAAAGACCCTGAATCAAAATTATGTTTTTTCTTTTTTGAGACAGGGTCTTGCTAGGTCACTTAGTTGCCCAACCAGGACTTGGTCTGTGATCCTCCTGACTCAGTCTCCCAGAGTGCTGTGATTACAAGTGTGTGCAATCATGCATGGCCTTTAGTCATTATTTCTAGGGAGGGGACAGGCAGGGGAAATAAAAAGAATTAAGATATGTTCATGCACTATCATACCATAATTATTATGTACTGCAAACACGTACTAATAAAAATTTAAAAAACAAAAAATATGCAGTTTTTTGATCAGCCTTTGTATTTTTGCTACTAGAAAAATGTTAAACTTTGAAAGATACATAAAAAATAAGCAAGTCATTATTTCTGAATCTGTTTTTGAGAGAGGCATAAGACCGAGTAGACTAAGTGGGGGAAGATCCACCCTCAGGGCATGCAGGCACCATCCAATCACCTACTGGCCTGGACAGAAGGTAAAAGAAAGATAAAAGTGCTGTCTCCAGAGCTGGAATCCTCTTCTCCTTCCCTTGGACAGCAGAACTCCACACTCTCCAGCCTTTGCACTCCAGCACTTACACTTAGAGCCCCCCAGTTCTCAGAGTTTGGCTTTAGACTGAGTTATACCATTTGACTTCCCAGTTCTGAGGTCTTTGGGTGTGGACTGAGCCATGCTGCTAGCATCCTAGGGTTTCCAGTTTGCCGACAGCAGATGCTGTGAACTTGTGAGCCTGTTACCCTACTTAACCCTTTCACCTACCTACTCATCCTCTATTGGTTTGTTCTTCTGGAGAACCCTGAAGAGTACAGATTTTGGTACCTGGAGCAATTCTAAAGGGGCAACATTGAATTGTCAGGAAGATCCCAGCAGTTGCTGGGAAATCCCTAATATTCTTGAATTCTGATACAATGGAGAAGCACCCAGGCCTGCTAGACACTCCCAAGAGGTCTTTTTTTAAAAGACAGTATCTTCCTAAATTTCCTAGGACAACATGGAACTTGTGATTCCCCTACCTCAGTTTCCTAATAGCTTGAATTCAAGAGGTCTTCTTGATGTGCAGAATAGAGTAGTCTGCTCATTCAGTTGTATACATGAAATTGAGGCATTAAAGTTGAAATTGGAAGGAGGGGCTCTTTGAGAGAATCTTCTTTTCAACACGATTTGCAAGTTTTTATTAAAAAAATTTTTACTTTTTGAGACAAGATCTCGCTATGCAGTTCAGGCTGGCTTTCAGCTATGCTGCCCAGGCTGGTACTAAACTTAACCCTGATCTGTCGCGAACCGGCGACGCAGAGCACTGTCCCGCAGTGCCTCAAACCTGAAAGAGCAGCGGGGTGGAGATGGGGCAGAGAGAAAGGAAGGACGCCAAGACAAGAGTCTGATCAAGGCGACGTTTATTGCAGGCAGGCATCAGCCTTTTAAAGGAAAAGACCGAACTATTATGGGCTAGGATTACCATAGTAACCTCAATACCTGCTCCTATAGATAACATCAGATCTTTAACATAACAAAATGGAGTTAACAACACCTGACTCCTACAGATCTTTGGCTGTCTGGGTTTCTCCCGTGCAGGGCAAAACAAGTTTAACATGTGCAGTCGTTAAAAAGGAACAAATGTTGTCTTTCAAAAAGCCAGTGGGCTATGGCTGGCTTCCCACACTGATCCTCTTGCCTCATTCTGTAGAGGGCTGGGGTTACGGGCGTGCACCATCATGTCTGGCAAGATTTGCAAGTTTTGGGGGCATAAATCAAGTCATATCTGGTTTTAAAATCTTGGGACACACTTCTTCTTTTTGAAGTATGTAATATTGTTTAACAACTCAACGGATTGTCCATCATATTTGGTCAAAGCACATTAGGTATCAAATACAATAAGGGCCAAAAGATCGGAATAATAATTCGTATTATTATTTTGGAATGGTGTCAGTGTATCTCTCGGAGGAGGGTTTAAAAAACAAAGTGTAGCCGGGTGTGGTGGCACATGCCTGTAATCCCAGCACTCGGGAGGCTGAGGCAGCAGGATCACTGAGTTGGAGACCAGCCTGGGCTACATAGTGAGTTCCAGTTCAGTCTGAACTACATTGTGAGACCCTGTCTCAAAAAACAAAACAAAACAAAGTAAAACAAATAGTATTCTGTCCAATAAAATAAAAGCAAAACAGAAGAAAAGAAAAACCAGAAAGAAGCTCCTAGCGTTGATTCCTAATTATTACAGTCGATTTTAGTTGTTTTTTGAATTTGTCCCAGTAGGTGTCAGTGCTGAGTTGTAGTAAAATCTGTTTCCCAAGTGTAGAATTGTTCAAAACAAAGAAAGTAAGAAAGAAAAAAAATATATAAAAGGTTCCGTAGGATAGCTCGTGAAGACCAAATGTGATTCCTTTATTAGAGATAGAGAATTTTACATTTGTGAGGTTTTCAAAAGAGACGGGGTCTCACTATATTGCCCAGGCTGGAGTACAGTGGCTATTCACAGGCGCGATCCCACTACTGGTCAGCACGGGAGTTTTGACCTGCTCCGTTTCCGACCTGGGCCGGTTCACCCCTCCTTAGGCAACCTGGTGGTCCCCCGCTCCCGGGAGGTCACCATATTGATGCCGAACTTAGTGCGGACACCCGATCGGCATAGCGCACTGCAGCCCAGAACTCCTGGACTCAAGCGATCCTCCCACCTCAACCTCCCGAGTAGCTGGGACTACAGGCGCGCGCCACCACGCCCGGCGATCACAGTTGAGACAGAAGCGTACTAGAGCCTGCGCTGAGCTGACGTCATCCACAGCCGACGTAGGACGTCCAAGGGATTCCATTCACCCCGGCAGAAGCAGTGTTGCCAAAGTGCGCACGCGTTACTTTTCATTACTGCATTCTGGGTAAAAATGTGTCTCGGAAAAATTTGAAGAGCGCATGCGTGGGGCGGCTCCTTCCTTTTGCCTCCTTGTACCTCTGGAAGTAACATGGGTCACCAGCAGCTCTACTGGAGCCACCCGAGGAAGTTCGGCCAGGGCTCTCGCTCTTGGTGAGAACATATTGTGGTTTTAGGGAAGGGTTGCTCTGAGTCGGGAGGTTGCTGGAAATCCCAAATAGACGAGCCCGCGAGTGGCGCGTGGGAGCAGACTGATCGGACCTCCGCCATTATCTGCCGCGGCCGGCCCGGTACGCGGTCGTGTACGTCCGTGCTGTCCTCCAATAACGTCCTGTCTTTTCCTTCATTTTACAGCCGCGTCTGCTCAAACCGACACGGTCTGATCCGGAAATACGGCTTGAATATGTGCCGCCAGTGTTTCCGTCAGTACGCGAAGGATATCGGCTTCATCAAGGTGCGCGTCGTCCTCCATGTTGGTGTGAGCGGGGAACGCGGGGGCCCCGTGTGAGCCGTAGACCAGGACCGCACCCCTGCTTGCTTAGAAGGGCTGTTGGTGGTGGGTGACACTGTTGAGGGTTTGGGAAATTGGGTCAGTATAATGGGGAGGGTGAAGACTTGCGTATTTCTAGCACCCCTTTCTTTGCCAGTTTTCGATGTCATGTATTACGTTGGATAAAATACTTGACAATCGTCCCTACGGTTTAATTTTTTTAATCTCATTTTTCTGCCTTATTACTATCTAGATAATTTCTAGCCGGATATTACGTGTGAACCATTGACCCCCACAATGTTTTGAGGCCAAGTGGACCTTGTTGGGATTCAGTAGAAAAAGGATCTGCTGTTAAAAGTTGTGTGACATAGATCACATTAATGCACCTCCAGTATTTCTTGGTTTCTAAAAATTACCTAAATGTTGTATTTTTCACCAAAAATGAGAACAAATTTCTTTTTGGCTCTTTACATAAAAATCATCAGCTTTCTGGGGCTGGGGATTTAGCTCAATGGTTCTGCCGCTTGCCTCTCAAGCGCAAGGTCCCGAATTAGATCCCGGGTACCAAAAAAAAAAATCGCCAGCTTTCTGATTCGAAATTATTTTGTATAGGTTATTGAGAAGCACCTAACGTGCTAAGAAATACATGTCATGCCACCTTTGGTGGTGCACACCTGTAGTCTGAGGCAGGAGGACTACAATTTGAGTTCAGCCTGGGCAGTTTAGCAGCTTAGACCTTGTCAACAAAAGACTGGGGCTGGTCCTGGCTTCAGCTCCAAATGTTTTACAGGTAGTACAGAGGCCAAAAACAAAAAGCATTAGTGTCGGTGTATTTAGTGGATGTAAGTTGTTAATGAGAGGTTTCAGTGGTGTAGCGGAGACAGAAAAATGGTCTTTAAGACATTATTGCTTAAATTCCTTTTTTTTGTTCTGAGACAGTCTTATTATGTAGTAGTTCAGGCTGGAGGTGTTGAACTCATTGTGTATGAGGGGCTGGTCCAGTGATCCTTCTGCCTCCGCCTCCCAAGGACTGGATTACAGGGATGTACTATATCAGGCCTGGCTGCACAAATACTTAGTGGCTGTATACCTGGTGCTGCAATGTGGAAGTTGCTGTAACTCAGTGGCAGCAAAAATGTCACAGATGAGAGCAGGAGAGCTAGCTCTATCACTAGCTTTGTGACTGCTTTGAGGGAAGGAGTAAGACACAGGTAGTAGAATGAGGATTTGGCGCTGTGCCTGCCTCAAGTACAAGGTCCTAAGTGAGTTCCATCCCAGGTATGGGGCGGTGGGGAGAAGAGGTACTTAAAAAACCAAAACCAGTCTAAAAGTTGTGCATTAGGCATTCAGCAAATGTTTAAAGAACTTAATTCATGATATTGAGTTTGGATGGGTCTTAAATATCATTCTATAAATGAGCCACTTTTTGTGAGAATCCAGTTTAAATTTAAAGCATTTAAAAATCTTTTCTGTGTGCTTTTTTTTTTTCAGTTGGACTAAGTGATCTTCAATGGACATTATCCAGGACATCCTCTCCGTGGAAGCGACATGCTAACTCTTTGTACATAAAATAAAAAAATTTAAAGCTTTCAATTTATGGGTTTTGATATGAAAAGCATAGTTGACTGGTTGTAGAAATTTACTTTTCAAAATCTATTCTTACTAATTGTGACCAATTTATTTTCAAAATACGTGGCTTATTTTCCATCAGTTGAGAGCTTTGGTAACTATTGTTCTTTGAAAAATGTTTTAGTATATAAAATGCGTTTTATGTACAGGAGTATTTAACCACAAGACAGACAAGTAGTCTGAAGAATAATAGATACACTGCTGTGAGCTGGGGCAATAGGAAGCCAATTAAAAAGAATTACGGGGGGGAAAGAAGGCTGTCACTAAAACAGTCTTTTGGAACATTTAGGTGGCTGGGTTGCCACTTATCTAAATAATGGTCTTGAGAGCCATTTACTCTGGGGGCTTTTTAGAGGGTGAAATGTGGCAACTGAGGCACAAAATCTGATTCTTCCAGGATTGTACAGCCAGTGAGAAATCAATGTCTCAAAATCTTTTCCACTCAATAACTTCTAACATGCTTTAATATCTATATGTTGGAATTCTACAAAATAGAGAACTGATTTTCAATAGAAAATTGTGTATGTGGTACAATTTTACTATATTAAAGTGCACAGGAAAAAAAGGAAACGTGTTGGTATGTTGGGAGTGACTACCTCTAGGTGATGGAATTAATGGGTGATGCAGTTTGAAGTGCTGTCAGATTCCTTTAGGCTGGGGTAGCCCATGACTGCAGTTGTCTGATACCAACACGGCTAGATAGGCTTTTGTTGCGCTCAAGCCAGGCCCTAGGTGGTTCAATCTCCTGAACTAAAAAACAAAACTGAAAACTCTGGGAAATAGCAAGTTTGATCCAGAGCAGTTAATTACCATTCAGTGTCTTGAACTTAGTCATTTGATTAGCTGGGCATGGTGGCATACCTTGTAAATCCCAGCACTTAGGTGGCTGAGGCAGAAGGATTGCTGCCAAGTTCGTGGCCAGCCTGAACTACGTAGTGAGACCCTGTCTCAAAAAAAGAAAAAAAAACAAAACCAAAAGGTTTTATCTAAAGTCATTTGATTAATTAGAAAATAGTTTTAAAAAGCCAGAACTGGCTTTCTTTGTTGATTAAAAATTCTTTTGTAAACAGATGAACTTGAGATTGCTGAATGATCAGTTGGAGTTTGACACACTGAATAACTTGTACTTGATAACAGATGGACATGGTTGTGTCTAACACAAATCTTCATAATTCAACATGCAATTTGTTGTAATGATGCACTACCACCAGGCTACATGGATAAATACTCTTTTAAGGAGAGCTCAATTGCTGGACATGAGAAATTGGGGCCAGTGGCTCTACAGGATATAGAGTTACAAGAAGTTTAGGCTGGAATTCTGGGTTTGGAGATTTATGATGATGTTCCAGAAGGTGACATGACTATTTGGATAGATATAGATTATTATACATGATGGGCTGGGGATTTATCTTAGTGGTTCTGCTGCCTTCCTCACAAGCACAAGGACCTGAGTTTGATCCCCAGTACCACCCCCCCAATAAATTAACCGAACTAGACAAAACACAGACGCCCCCTCGTTCCATATTCTCTATGAAGTAGATTATTATACATGAAAAAAATAAGACAAGCCCTCCCGTGTTTTTTGGAGCAAAAATTAATATAAGACCTCATTTTATTTTTGAGGACATACGGTACTGAGTTGCTAACTTGCCCAGGTTTGGCTTGTACCTGCAATTCTCCAGCCTCATTGGGTTTACAAGCACAAACTGCTGTGCCTGGCACTTACTGATGTTTTTGATGTCCTTGGCCAACTTACCAGACCTGGCATACTGTCACTAGAGGTTTATTATAAAACATTAATTGAGATAATCTGAAAATATACAGCATCACTAATGCAGAAGAAAGGGAGTGCACATCCATTGAAAGAGACTGGCGGGAGCTGCTGAGGTCAGGAAAAATGGGTGACGAAGTATCTGGAGAAATGAGTGGGGAGAGACTGGAATTCAGAGAAAAACTCCTTTCTCACTATGTTATATCAGTTCTGTTTTCAGGAATGTGGCATTCCATGGATCTCTCTGACCATGTTTTAGGACAGGCTCTTATTCAGGAGCAACTCTAGAACTACTCGTGTGTGATTTTAGCCAGTGCAGCAGTGAGAGAAAAGAATGCTGTAGTTTAATCACGTTGTAAGAGTGTGGTGCGCACCATGCCACCCAATAGTGATTATGCCAATTGTGTAAGAGCTCCTCTCACTGAACTCCATTGCCAAACACTGGGCATTAACAGCAAGTGTTGGAAAAAGCCATAAGATATATGGCTTACTAAAACCCTTAACAGTAGCCCATAAAGAGTAATATCTCATTATATTATTGCCCTAAATAATGACAAGATTGCAAAGTAAAGGATTAATTGACAGAGTGGTAAACATTTCTGGCAGCACAGACAAATCAAGAAAATAATAAAAAGCGATGGAACTGTCTCTTGGCAGTCTATTTAGTTTGAGTTTCATAGACTGAGCCTGGGTCACCTTGTGCCATTTCACATACCCATGAATCCCATTTCATGGTGACATTTGTGCATCTGTTTTCCCTTTGATGATAACTCTTATTAACACTCATGAAGATTGAGTGTGGACATCTAGTGCAGATGATGTATTCAGTCAACCACAAAGAACAGGCGCTGTGAAAATGATTCATATTTAGAACTACAGTGAAAAGATAAGGCTGGTCCATTCAACCAGTGCTGACATCCTTGGGCAACCAAGGGTGTGTTCACCCTGTGTACAAAGGGTACAGGAATTAAGTGCCATTGGTATGTGATTTTATTTTTTATTTTATTTATTTTTTTGGTACTGGGCATTGAACTCAGGACCTTGTGCTTGCAAAGCAGGTGGCGGAACCACTGAGCTAAATCCCCAGCTCCATGATACACAATTTTGCTTAGGCCAGTTCTGCAAACATTTTAGCTTCTGGAATTCTTAACAGTCCTTTGATTTTGATAGTAGTGTTCATGAAGGTCTCAGGGAGAAGGCATCTTTTATATGAACTGAAAATAGAACATCCAACTTTTTGTGGGATGCTGCTTTTAATTCTCACATTCCTCTGTCTTCTTACCTTAACCTCTTGTCAAGCCAGAAGCCATTCACAGCCATTGGGAAAAACACTGCTCTCATTGGGTATGGTGATGCACATTTGTAATCCCTGTCCTTGGGGGGGCCGAGGCAGGATGATTAATAGTTCAAGGCCAATCTGGATTACACAGCAAGTTCAAAGCCAGCCTAGACAACATGGTGAGACCCTGTCTCAAAAACAAAAAAAACAAAAACACAAGAGACAGAAACAAAACAACAACAAACTATTACTCTTAATCTGATTTGTTATCTTTTGGATATTGCATTTGAAAGATGTCTTCAGAGTGGACATTTTATAACACCAGGATTTTATGTGTGTTTAGATTTTATAGTCTCATATACATCATCTCTACTGATCTTCACAACGGCTTTGCCAGACAAGCAGATCAAGGGTTATTTCTTCTGTTTTAGGTCAGAAACTAGGCTGGTAGGGATTAAGTGACTTACTCAAAGATACACACTCAGTAAGTTGTGCAGCCACAATTTGATTGCCTTGACTCCAAGCCCAAGGCTTTCTCCACTATTCAGTGTTTTTGATGCTATTTACTCTACTACTTTGTAGGACTTTTGTATTTTGTTTTGATAATCTATTCAGACACAGTTTCCTTCAAGGTTTTCTACATGGTCAGGAGCTTTCATCATCTGATTCCTAATATTAAGCCATCTTTTTTACCAAGGTACTAAAGCATGATGGCCATGGCTGCTTCTCATTTATGCCCTTCATTATAGGTTTTCTAAATACACCTACTCCTTGTTAATGACTTTAATTTGTTTCTGAAAATGCTGCTATAAATTAAAAGCTGTTAAATGGTTACTTTTATTAGCAAAAATTATGTGTTCTGTCATATCACAACATACTTAATTTTCACAAATGGGAAAATATGCCAATTGAACAGTAAAAAATAAAAGCTTAAACTAGTGTGCAATAACTTGAAAGTATTCAGATACCAACTGATGTATGAAAATCCCTTTCTTGCACTAACTTCTATAGTTAGCATAGATCCCACAACTTAAAGGTACAATGACGCAGGATAAACATTCCCTTTCCTTTGGAATGGGAGGATAGAAAAGAACTGGACCAAAGCAAGAACAAAATCCAATGGGGCAAACATTTAATCCTATAGCTCCATGACTATCATCTAGAGCATATGGCGGTAAGATGTGAATTCCAGTGGGCTTGGGTAGTACCACCACTTTGGTCCTGCCAGTTGTAGTCCACTAGCCTCTCATGTGAGCTGGTTTTGCTTAACTTTTGTGGCTTTTCTTAGCAGATGTCCCAGGAGCCTGACATCTCTTAATACCTGGGGTCTCCACTGCACCTTTGGCTTCATTTCCATAGTTTCATGCACTCACCTCCCAGGGACACCTTACCTAGTATCCCAGGCATTCCTTTGAAATCTGGGTGGAAGCCTCCCTGACTCTACAACTCATGCATTCAGCATGCCTCAACAACCAACCTCATATGGATGATACCAAGGTCTGCTGCCAGTGAGAGCAGTATTTGGGTCCCCTTGAATCATGGCAACAGCAGCCTTTGAGTGTCTCGGTGGCTGAACATAGTGAAATGAGTCCTGGAGAACCAATTTACTTACTTACTTATTTATTTTTGTACCAGGTATTGAACTAAGGACCTTGTGCTTTGCAAGGCAGGCATGGTGCCACTGAACTAAATTCCTGGCCTGAGACTTTTTTTAAAATAGCAAAACACTTATTGGTACATTTTAGGAATACATAATGATAACACTGATCATAGGGAATTTGCATCTGTACATAATACATCCTGCCTCTTTTTTCACACCCCAACCCCCCCTCCCTATGTACAAAAGCTTTGTTTCCTTTTTTTGTTGTTTTCACTTTTTCCTTCCCCTTTTTTCCCTCCCTCCTCCCTTGTTCC